TATAATTAATAGAAAATATAGTATAGATGTGTATAAGAGACAACCTATAGAAACGCCTCTTCAGAGAGTTGGCGCGCATACATAGTGACCTATATTGCCGAGCTATATCAGCATCATCAGTTGCATCACTAAGTACATGACCAAGGTAGAGAAATGAAGTAGCATACTCCAGCTGTTCCCCACCTACAGTAGTGACAGGGTCACCGCTCAACTTTCTTACACGTGGACAAAAGCACATGCACACAGACTTTTTACCATTAAATAAGATGTCATGCGTGCTCATATGATCTTCACAGATATCAATTAACTCTTGAAGCCCGGCTGCCGACGGCGACAATAAGACAATATCATCAGCATAACTGAAATGATTATTAAACATAATACTGTACCATCAAACTGGCAACAAATAAAACAATTTTTTAATCTTTCACTTAGAGAATCATTGTATAAACTATATAGAAGGGGTGACATTATCCCTCCTTGACGAACTCCATTTAAAATTAAGAAGTCAAATGAATAAGTTTTCCCCCACCAAACGATAAATTTCTGAGTCATGTACCATGTGGACAGAAGTCGTACCACAGCATAGTTGGTTCCCCTATCAATTAGTTTTTTAAACAGGGTTGAATGATTTACCCTATCAAACGCCTTACATGAATCCAAAAAGCATGCATATACAGGATTTCCATTTCTATAATAGTAATTTTAAAAGTTTTAATACAAAAATACACGTCTCAGTGGAGTGTCCACATTTATATGCAAACTGGTGATCATTACTATGAAGAGTGTCCCCTGCTAGATCAATGAGCAAATACTCCAGGACCTTAGAAGTAGCACATGCCAGAGCAACAGGCCTATAGTTGTTTCTACTAGTTACATCCCCCATCTTACTCTTAATAATTTGAACTAAAACCACTTTTCTCATGTCTTCATTTATATGCCCATGACTTAGCATTGAGTTATAACAGATGCTTAGTAGTACACATCGTGGGGCACCTTCATACCGCAGGTGCTCCCCACAAAGGCCATCAAAGCCGGCCGCTTTCTTTAACGATATATTTAATATGTAATTGTTAACAATGGGCCGCTCAGCTGATCGGCTGTTATTGTTTAAAAACGACTTTACATCATACTTTTCACGGATTATGAGGCTGATTAAAGGCAATGGAACTCCTACATTACCAAACCTTTAATTCAGTTTCCCAACATATAAGTTGGATCCTCTTCACATTACAAAAGTACAAATTACTAAAGTATAAAATGACATGAAAGAAGGAGAACATTTGAGCTAAGTTACATCATGCATAACAATATTAGGAATTAATTTATATTCAGTGTCGTTAAATTGTTATTATTTTCGTAATAATTATTTTTTATTGTAATGATAATATGGCAACTTTTTGATTATGATAATTTTTCCATTGTTCTTATATCATCATTGGTGTTGTTAGAATTATTATTATTATTATAAATATTAAAATTATTATTTGCATTTATGTTGTGATATAGATTATTTTTAGCCATGAATGATATACAGCATAATTTAGATGCTTTTTAATTTTTATAATTTGTTGTAATACTATTTGTATCTTTTATAGATACTGTAGCCAATTGTCGAAGTCTGGACCTAAGGAGATAACTTCCGTCCTAGTTCAGCCAACCTTTGCCCTTACGTTCTTCCTTCTTTGGAATTTTGGATTATTAGTTGTTGATCGTATCCTTCAAAGATAAAAATATTTCTTGTTTATTTGTTAACTCAAGTATTAGTCTGTCTAATTTGGTTTATGTAATTTATATAATTCTTTGCCTTTGAATAGTGTTGTTTAATGGTCCTACAAAATGATAAATGCAAACTTACATAAACATTGTTTTAGCGAAACAACAAATGTGACCCAAGCTCACAAACAGGCTGTAAACTCGTCCTCAAGCCAAAATGAGATTTTGTTATAATGGCATAGAACATATCATTTATTTTCAGTTAAATGAACTCAATCGAGTGTCTGGAAGCAAAGTTATGACCGTGAATAATTGTCATCTTCTCAACCTTTCTTAAATCAAGTTTTGAGAAAAATGCTTTTATTTTTGGCAATTTCTTATTCATTTTCACTAACTTCCATTTGAAAATGGCTAAATTTTGCCTTTTACAGTTTGAATTTTAAACTCAAACTTCAGGAATAGGAAGATTAATAATTATACCTTATTTATTACACAAAAACCCAATTCACACGAAATTCATATTTTATGGCATGTTCTGGCTATTGAGGCTTGTTTCTCAATACAGTGCTGTGCGAGTTTACAGCCTTTTTGTGAGCTTGGGTCACAAATGTGTTTATGGGAAAAGAGTTGTCATTTGCTTGACTAAATTGTCATTTCTGTGATTGACACTTGTGAAGGGTCCATAATGAAATGATTACTGTATAATGCTAACAAATTCTAATTATGATATAATTAATAGAAAATATAGTATTAGTAATAATAATATGGTAAAATTGTAATAATATATTAATTATATTAGTATAATAGTATTCAGAATATATTTGCTTAACAAAGTTAATATTTTGGCCTTATAATTAATAATAATACTATTCAAACTATATTTGTTTTAACAAAGCTTATACTCCAGTATTTGTCTGTCTAACTTGGTTTATGTAACTTATATGATTCTTTGACTTTGAATAGTGTTGTTTAATGGTCCTACAAAATGATAAATGCAAACTTACATAAACATTGTTTTAGCGAAACAACAAATTTGTTTATGGGAAAAGAGTTGTCATTTGCTTGAATAATTTGTCGTTTCTTTGATTGACACTTGTGAAGGGTCCATAATATAATAATTATAATGCTAAGAAATTCTAATTAGATTATATAATTAATATAAAATATAGTAATAATAATATCGACAATATTGTAATAATATATTAATTATATTAGTAATAATAGTATTCAGAATATATGCTTAACAAAGTTAATATTTTGGCCTTATAATTAATAATAATACTATTCAAACTATATTTCCTTTAACAAAGCTTATATTCTGCCCTTAATGTTCTTTCTTAACTTTTCTGCAAAGACATTCATTTTCAGTACAATGGATTTTTGACTGGCATATTGCTGCTGTCAATTACACGAATCTGTCAGGTTAGTTGATAGACAGGAATAAAGAATTAAATGCATTAACCGATTAACACCTTTATACATGACAAACCTTTTCACACCGTATTTGCAAGCTCGTGAAACGAGACAGTCAACTATTATGAAGTTGAAGGTTCCTTTTTCAAAAAGCGAAAGTTATTCCACGAGTTTTAAGGTGACCGGGGCGAATATATGGAATGACTTAGATATTGATTTGAGAACTGCGACTTCTCCAAACATATTTAAATACAAATTGTACGAGGCACTAATTAAGAAAATATAATCGGTTACGACCATGTGCTTTAAATGCAGGGCCCCAATGGAAATCAGTGTTTTAACTGTTTGGGCTACCCTGGGTAAACAAATGTAAATAAATAAATAAATATATAATTCTACAGATCCTAATTTTCTTTTCACCTATCAACGCCATCTCATGGTATAGGCTGGCCAAAAAAAATATTTAGCAATTTGGCTATTTGGAATGAAAATAATTAGTCAAATATAAATTTGATTACCCAGTAACCAAATAATAGAAGCGATGATAGCTTTAATTCCATTAGATTTTTGGCTAATTTGGAATGAAGATATTTAGCAAAATTCAGCTTTTATTAGGATTTGGTTAATTGGCAGCTTAAGCACTGCCTTTTTCTACCAATTTTGACAGATCATGTCTTTTATTTTGTTCTTGCAGAATAGAAATTTAGAAGGTGGTTTCTGGTTTGCAGTTTTACTCAATTTTAAGCATATTTACCTGTATATTGCACCTGCCTATTTTATCTACCTGCTCAGGTGTTATTGTTTTACAAGGTCAAAGCCAGGTATGTTTAATAATAGATAAGTAAATTTATTGTCTATTTTAAAAATTATGTTTCAGGGTTGACTGTAATATTATATGGCATATTGTTGAGAAAATTAATGCCAGCTTCCAGCTTTCCTTAATTGTTTGCGAAGTTTTTCCAATCTTCTGCAATCTTGTTTACAAACATCACTCTTGTTGTGCAAATAATGAATGATAGAACCAAACGATCGGTAGAAGATTGTAAAAACTTCACAAACAATTAAGAAAAGCTGAAGCTGACATTAAATTTCTCAACAATTGTAAAACCTTCAGCGTATTTCCTAAGTTTATATGGCATATGCAATAAATCTATTGCATTTTGTAAATAAACTGACTATTGCTATTGTTCCTTTAACTAGATAAAAATTATTATTTATTTCCTTGTACACAAGGATGAAAAAGGGTGCGACCGCACGACTAGTGGTCAGAGGCATTGACCTTTAACCTGGAGGCATTTTAGAAAATTTTTTTTTTTTTTTTTTTTTTAAACACATCACAATTTAATGCATAAATTTAATTTAATATTTTTCCTTGCTCCAAACCACTAAAGGTACTACTACTGTCTCTTATACACATCTAGATGTGTATAAGAGACAGGTGTTTGGCCGATGACGTCATCATTCGATCGTAAAACTATGGCATATGTAATAAATCTTTTTCATTTTGTAAATAAACTGACTATTGCTATTGTTCCTTTAACTAGATAACAATTATTATTTATTTCCTTGTACACAAGGATGAAAAGGGTGCGACTGCACGACTAGTGGTCAGAGGCATTGACCTTTAACCTGGAGGCATTTTAGAAAATTTTTTTAATTTTTTTTTTTAAACACATCACAATTTAATGCATAATTAAATTTAATATTTTTCCTTGCTCCAAACCACTAAAGGTACTACTAATAGTGTAAAGAGAACATTTGTTCCTTGAGGCATTTGACAAGATAATTTTCATGGTTGGAAGCACAAAAATATTTTTTCCAGGCCTGCTTGTACACTTAAGATCAACTCAGCATTGTATGACGCAGCACGGCATGTTTTAGTGTACTTGTTGTTGGGTCTGTGTGTGACACAATGTGCCGTCATGAGACTACGTTGGGACAATCGGTTTCCAAAATTTAACATATCATTTTAAGATTGTCTCCAACAAGAAGTCGCATTGGGATACATCATACTGCGCTGTGTGAGTTTACCTTTACCCTGTCTTGTAGATGGACGAGTGGTGTGGAGTAGCCTGTCGTTGGTTAGATTGATCATTCTTGGGCTGGTTGTTATATCTGTGTTTGCTCTCTCTTTTGGACCATTCATTTACATGGTAAGTTGTGGATTAATAACTTATCGTTTGCCTGACTAATCCTTCTTTTTTTTTTTCTTTTGTGGGATCGTCCCACTTTTATTTCATCATAATGTCTTAAACTACGTAGATACAGTATATTACACATAACATATAGTCTACATTTTAACAGTTATTATATATATTAAGTAAATAATAGTATGAAATATATATCTCGTATGTAGTTACTTAATACACGTCGACTAATCCTTCTTAGTCTTAATCAATTCTGTGATTTTTAGATAATTTTCTCATCTTAAAATTTGTTTTATTATTGCAATCAATGATTAAAATAATGATGGTGAAGATGGTGATGATGAAAAAGAAAATGATGAAGTTGATGATAATGAAGATAATTATGAAATGGATGCTGAAGATAATGATAACGATGATGAAGATGATGATATTGATGATAAATATGATAAAATAATGGAGATGATGATAATGAAGATAATGATGAGGATGGTGATAATGAAGATGATGCCAAAATGCTGTGGATTGCAATACCTGTAATTACTCTAAATGATTTTGACAATAAAGATGATAATCAGATTTATGTACTGCTTTTATAGGGTCAACTTCCACAAGTAGTATCACGCCTGTTCCCATTCAAGAGGGGGTTGTGTCATGCTTACTGGGCGCCAAACTTCTGGGCTTTATACAACTTTCTAGATAAAGCACTTACAATCATAGGTATTGTATGTTTATTATAATTTATTGTGTTTGAGATGATAAAAAATTTTTTTTTTTTTTAATGTAAACATTGCTTTACAAATTATAGTCTAAGAAAACTTAACTAACAAATGCAAGATGTAATACCTGTACTAATAAAGGATTATTGTTTATTTTTATTAAAGGAACAAAGATTGGTATTTTGTCAGTTGAAGCCATCAGCCAGAATGCAGCCATGACTGGTGGTCTTGTACAAGAGTTCCAGCACACTGTCCTACCATCAGTGCCACCGCTGGCTACATTCATACTAACTGCTGTCTCAGTGCTGGTAAGAATTTTCAATGGAAGTGAGTGGCAATGGATTTTTGGCTGTGGATGATGATGATGATAAAATAGGTACTGTTACTGTTGATGATGTCACCATAAATGATGACACTGAATATGCGATTTTATAATTAGGATGACAGTATTTATTGATGAGGGTGATGTTGATGATGTTGGTCATATAACAATAATGATGATGCTGGTGAAGGTGAGGGTTAATTTTTGTGAATATATTTTTCACAGCCCTCTTTATGGCACCAATGGAGACATCCAAGCGGTGCCAATGGATTCCTGCGATGCCTCACAATCTGTGCATTCTGTTCCTTCATGTTTGGTTGGCATGTACATGAGAAGGCCATCATACTTATCACCATACCTCTTAGGTAAGAAGACATTGAGGCGTCCGACTTGCATGTTAGTTAATCATGATAGTAGGGATCTTCTTATTTGCCCGATGATGCTAGAACGGATTCACTCATGCTTGACCATCCCACCGTCCTCTGCACAAAGTATATTTCAGACAAATTGCATCCTAAAATCCATGCAACAACGAAAACTCAACGTTTGCATGCGCAGATGGCTTCTTAGTGATGTCCTACCATCGTGCAAACGAAAGCTCCCTAGTAACTAACACTGCTCTGCACACTTGGCATTCCATTCTGCAACATCATCATCCATCCATTACCTCCAACTCAGTCACACCAAGTATGCACACATAACATAACCTGTGCCTAGATACAGTAGTATATATTATAATCTTCTAATCTGTATCTTTATACACACTTATATTGCAGCCTTCTAGCTGTCGAAAGCTACCGTGATGCCCAGATTTTTCTTCTTCTCACAACTGTCGGCCATTATTCATTGTTCCCATTAATTTTCAAGCCAGCAGGTTAGTCACCCTCCAGAACATTTCTTTTTGTGCTGCAAGTTTAATACATAAATAAAATTGTAGAGATTGTAAAAATAGACAGTATCTGCTTTAGTAACCATAGTGCCATCCTAAAACCAGAGAGAGAGCAGCTTAGCACAGTTGGCTAATCTGGTGGTAGCCACTGTGTGTGCGCTGAACCGTGGAGATCTCTAGGTCCCCGGTTCAATTCCCATCGCTGCCTCTCCTTGTGTTTCAGCGAGAGGGCTGAAATACAAATTACAATAGCACACCGTCTTTCGGATGAGACGTTTAAACCGTTGGTCCTGTGTGCATTTCGGAAAGAGTAGGGGATTGTCCTCCGATGTACTGTCCAATAACCACCAGAAGGACCCCACTGGAAATAAGTCTTCTAGACTTTCGTGGGCTATCCTTGGTGTTTACTCCGAATAAATCCAATCCAATCCAACCAGTGATCTGTCAATATAAGTTAAACTAGCATACTGTGGTGGTAATATTGTGTACTTATTACAGATAAGCTGTAATACTCATAGCTTTGTAATGTTTAGTCGATTGCTGTAAATTGTCCATCATATTAAAGCTTGTAATGTGTAGAATACGAATAAATTGATAAGTCTATTTTTAATGCTGGTTTTGGGAGGGCATGCCCATATGCAATATAATCACATGGTAAAGTAATAATTATTTTTTTTTTTTTTACAGAAGCTCCAATAAAATTGTGTCTGCTTTTATTATCAACACTCATATCTCTGATAACTTTATCCAACATTTACAAGTGAGTAGGATTTTCAATATTTGGAAATTTGTTTTACTTTTTCTATTTATGATTTGAATCATAAATAACTATAGTTCGTTTTTGTATATTAACATTAAAAATAATAATAATAATACTTGGAAATATATGATGTTAATGATTACTGAATGAATCTTTTAAACATTTTAAACAGCTAAAACAACTGAATTATCATTATCATCATTATCATTATTCTTATAATAAATAATATCATTAATAATGTTTTTCTGAACAAGTATCATTATTATCATTATAATTTATGACTATTATCAAAAAAAGTTTTGCTATTATAACTTCACAACATTTTCCTGTTGCACTTGCATGGGAAAAAAATTTATGAAATTGTTTCCTGGTTTTGTTTTGAGCTTTCTGTTAGTTTAAGATATTTTTATTATTATCTCTATTTTCATTGTGTTTTGATTGACAACTTTCACTTTTGTTATTATTTTTACAGAGTTCCAAAATCATCATGGTTACCACACATTCCATTACTAACACCTTTGGAATCACTGTATATGCTAGGCCTGATTCCTTTGTACATTTATTGCAATCTAGGGCATTATGCACTTGGTCTAGGAGACAAACTAGCTTTTCTACCCTTGATGCTGACCTCAGTGTACTGTGCAGGGGGCGTTTCATGGGCCTGGCTTAAATTTTATTATAACTCATTAAAGAGAGAAGGAAGATTGGAATCGCAAAAGGATAAGAAAATTTAGGAAAAGTTTTATAAAATAAACAATTATTTAGTTCAGAAATGATTCAAAAAGATTAAATCAATATGGATTTACTGAGTTGACTTCTATGCATCTAATGCAATTGAACCTATGAAATTTCCAGTATAGAATTATGTAGTTGAGGATCTTTAATTGCTACATCATGACATAGTGTCTGCGCCCCCATTGGGGGCAGTAGACACAAAAATGGACCTAAAGCTGTGTCCACACTATCAAGTAAATTTGATATGCCCATATTTGGGCATATCATATCCATATATGGGGACATCACACAAATTTGTCACATAGAATGTTATAGTGTGGACAGGCCTTTAGTATCAGAAGGTGACATAATCAAGGATTTACTGCAATCTCTGAATAATAGGAAAAGGTTACATCAATTGGTTGGATATTGACCTCAACTCCCACAGAAGGATACATCAATTGGTTGAATATTGACCTCATCTCCCGCAGAGTGTTGCATCAATTAGTTGAATATAATTGACTTCAACTCCCACAGAGGTTTACAGTACATCAATTGGTTGAATATTGACCTCAACTCCCGCAGAGGGTTACATCAATTGGTTGAATATTGACCAGCTTCCACAGAGGGTTACATCAATTGGTTGGATATTGACCTCAACTCCCGCAGAGGGTTACATCAATTGGTTGAAAATTCACCTCCCCGCAGGGAGTTGCATCAATTGGTTCAATATTGACCTCAACACCTGCAGAGTGTTACATCAATTGGTTGAATATTGACCTCAACTCTTGCAGAGGGTTGCATCAATAGGTTGAATATTGACCTCAACACCCGCAATATGTTACATCAATTGGTTGAGTATTGACCTCAACTCCCGCAGAGGGTTGCATCAATTGGTTGAATACTGACCTTAACTCCCACAGAGGGTTACATCAATGGGTTAAATATTGACCTCAACTCCTGCAGAGTGTTACATCAATTAGTTAAATATAATTGACTTCAACTCCCACAGCGGGTTACATCAATTGGTTGAATATTGACCACAACTCCCACAGAGCTCTTTTTTTTATATCTGAAAACCAGGCTCGGGAAGAAAAAATGTTTTAGATATGTTGTATGTATTTTTGTAAGGCACAAAAACGATGTTTGACGAAACATTTGGAAACAGTTAATGAGATACAGATTTTTAAATATTGAAAATGGGGGTGGGGGGGAAAGGTGTGTATAACCTCCCCTTTTTCCACCTTCAATGCAGATCGATTTTTAGATTATTGCAATCACCCAATTTCTTACAAATAAATTACAGTATACATATTATATTGTAGTATTATAATATTCGTATACATTTTGAAAATTTAGGTAAAAAAGTACTTTTATTCAAATAGTTTTTACTTTCTGTACAATCAGAAAGATAAACAATAATGTTGGTATTTTTCAATGAATCAGGTAGTGTTACTGGAGAAAAATATATGATACAGCCATAAAAAACGTGTGATGTGTATACATTTGAAATAAATGCAAAAGGCGAGGGTATTTGTTTGTAGCTTATGTAAGTTTATGTCGGATGGAAACCCTTTAACAATAACATGCTTATGAAAACACAACTTACAACACGCTCATCTTTTGTTTTGTGTTCTAAATTAGGAAGATAATTTGGTTTGATCTTAACAAAACTAAACAACACAATACTAATTATATCATGGAAATACGCGCTGATGTACAGTTTGTACACAACAGATATTATGAAAGTATAACTTCTCATTAAAGATGAAACAAAAACTCTTCCAAAACTTGGAATTTTGATTTATGGATAATGTCACTCGAGCTGAGTATAAAAGAAAAAATATTTCGCAAGAATATACATTATCTTAGTTTGTTATATAATTAACCAACTTTCTATTTCCCTAGTCATCTCTAGCTGATTCTTGAATAATAATTATCAATTATACCTAGAGTACATGCAACAAGCTAAGTGCAAGATGGCAGATATTAGAATATTTTTCTTGTCCTTATTGGCACTACATGGTGCGACCTGTGTTGAGATCGTGGGAACACCCGATGTCACAATTTATGAGGGGCAGAATGCTACACTCAGTTGCACTACCGGTTGCACAACTGGAGATCAGTTTGTGCTGTGGAGTACACGTTATGTGTGGATTGTTAATATATTTAATGAACTGAACAATTGGCTATTGGGTACACGTCGATGCCATTTCAGTGTGAATATGTCTACAGAAACATGCAATGCAGAGGGAACATTGCATCGCACCATCAGTTCGTTGTCAATATTTGATGCAGATCAAGCTGATGCTGGAGTGTATCTTTGCTATATAGCAGAGACGAACTTCCTCAGTACTATAAAACTGAAAATTGTTCCCCTTTGGCTACCAAACCCAACCTGCAGCCAAATACCGATGTTTGCGGTTGCTGGTGATGTGGTGACCATGTCTTGTGCGTCAGAAGCTGAGGTCCCATCATCTACAAAACTAAGTCTGTTCTTGTACAATGCGTACGACCATACACATAGTGTTATTAAAACAATGAACCAATCAGAAGCGACAAACTTGGCATTAAATCACGTCCATACAATCACTAGTGATGATGATGGTGCCAATTTCATATGCGAAACAAAATTCCTTGCCATTGGGAAGGAACAAGTGACACAAAGGTGTAGTACAAATACCATCCACGTTATTCCAACAACATCGGTCCAGGTTCTTCCACTTAACACACCTCTTTATCCTGGTGACAAAGCATGCTTCGTCTATATCATCACTACAGGCACTCATCTGGACGTTGATTACTCATGGTCAAAAAGTGATCATGAAAATGTGATACTGCCAGGAACAAATCAACATTGTATCGATGAGATTCGTGCAGAAGATGACCAGCAGCTCATGATCTGTAACGTTTCTAATAAATACCATTTGTATGCTACTGGTAATACAAGCATTAGTGTACAGGCCCGTAGCCAGCATGCTTCAAGGGGGGATTCTGGGCGTGGAGTCCAGGGGTCCGCCAAAGGGCCCCTGGTGGGGTCAAGGGGGGGACGCTAAGCCCCTGTAGGGGCCGGGGGCGAAGCCCCCGAAGCCAGAGCATTTATACGATTTTAAAAGCATGTACATGTCATTTAAATGCATGTTCATGTATATTTAAATACTTCTTACACAATTTTAAAAATAGGATAAGAGGACTACTTTTTTCAATACAGGATTTAGAACGTAAATGTTTATTGTGAAACAAAATTTTTTTTTTTTTATTAAAAAGCAATGCTTAACATTTTAATGCTACTATGTAATGTTATCTCTAAAAATATAACTGGGATAAAATTAGCAATACCCACTAGGTGACACTACAAAACACAGACCTTGCACATTATGAGATTGCTAAATACCAATATTAAAATATGGAGGTATGTAAAACGTCTTTGCTTAAAAGAGAAATACTGCAAATAATATTTTATTTATTGCAGAAATGAAGAAACAATAGGAACTGACAGCCCTATATTTTACTTTTTTACCAAAATAACTTAAATGTTAAGTTCCAATGGAAATATATATAATTAGGGCAAGGAAAAATGTTATATTTAAAAGTTACTGAACCATTTATGTAAATATACCTGCACGGTAATTTTGAAAAAAAAAAAAACAGACATAATTATAATGCTACAAATGTACATTTTTAAGAACCAGTGTAAAAAAACTTAGCACAGTGAAAATAAACAATAATTTAAGAGCTGTCTTGGTTTAAATGAGATATATTGAGAAAAAATAATAAATATATTATTATGAATAATGTCAGTTAATTCTGACGAAACGTGAAAACATTACCAAGTATATTTCCTTGCTAGCCTAGGCCCTGGCTAGCTCGATTACAAAATAAATAATAAAATTGTTCGCAAATAATAGGCCTCATCATATAGGCTACGACCCTACCCTACCTAGCAACGCTAGACCTAGGCCTAGCCCGAAAAAGTACACCGGTCCCGCCGCCAGGCAGTATCATGAGCATGTGGTGAAAACAAGGGTGAATTTTCTAACTTCTTAAATTTCGTGATTTCTTCGTTGCTGGCCTTGAAGCAAAAAAATC